ATCAAGAGTTTTCATTTGAGTACCCACATGCATTTTTGATATATTTTTCATATATACATATATATGATATATATAAATATATCAAAAATGCATGTGGGTACTCAAGTGAAAGCTCTTGATGAGTGTAACATCGGGATGAGCTTATATCTTTAAAAAGGTCAATATTTAAAAAAATACAGTGATAAATTTTATAAATTTGAAATATTGAGAAATTTTGTGAGCTTCAAAATTTTATCAAAAAAAAAATTAATTTTTTAGATAGTCCAACATGTATTAATACATATATTTAGATAGAGGTAACCACAAAACAAGCACATTTTGTGAGAACGTCATATAGAAGTCAGAGAGTAGTGACCCGCACCAATACAATGTAAATATATTATATCAGGACATCAGATAGAGGAAATAAGATACTCAATAGTATTTATATTTATATATATTTATTTATAAGTACAATAAATGATCCGCAATATAGTTTTACGATAAGATATTCCTGCTGGGTATTTCTACAATTTGTACTTTTGTCTGAAGGTAAACTTCTATCTCTGGTTGTATAATCGAGGTATTTTTATGGGTTTTTTAATATTGATGGTACGCAATCTTGGAAAATTTATAGTCTTCTTTTCAATACTTTACTTTTAAAATGATTGAAAAGGAACAATTTCAATAGAAACGCGATAAATTATTATTGACGAATAAAAATCTAGTTTATTTATTGAAGTTATGAATGCTCAATTTTCAATTTTAAATTCTGGGTCAAATATTGAAGATACGGAAAAATTATACCAGACTTTTTTTATAAAAAATTTTATTTCCTACAAAAAAGTTTCTTATCAATTTTGTCCTATCTATTATTCCCTCCAAAATTTGAATTTAAAGCCAAAAAATGATGTTGAAGAATTCATCTGTAGGTTTCAAAAGTTTAAAATGCTAATTTTGGTTAAAATATTGAAAATAAAAAAAATAATACAAGATAAAAGCCCCAAAAAAAAATCACCCAGTCGGGACTCGAACCCAGTTCGCTCCGCGCCGTTAAAAAAGAGTAGAACCACTTCGCTAATGTAAAATTTGTGAGCTCTATTAAAATTCAAATTTTTTTATATATTCGTAATAAGGACAAAGCCCTAATTATTGACAAGGGTCTAAATATTGACACCCTACATTATTTTTAAATATATTTAATCATCTGTAATAAGAATAACTATCATATAAATTTTTATTAAATTCTAATTAATTAAAAAATTGAAAAAAATTACTCAATTAAAAATATCAAATATTAATTATTATTGCTTAAATTCAATATTGATATTTGATTGCTTAAAAAAAATGAAATCATAATTTTGTCTCTTATAGTGTCAATATTTGGGGTTTTTACCTTTATCCCGCTACTTTTTGGATTTAAATTTCGCGGGTTTTTTACTACCAATAATTTTTGAATTTATTATTATTAATTTTTTTTTACAAAAAAAATTTGACTTTGCTTTAGATTATAAAATTCCAACAGTTCAAATATCTTTTTACAAAGTAAAAATATTTATTCGATGGAAGTGAACTTGAAGTTAAAAGCAAAACTTCGATACCAAGAAGTTTAAGATATTTATATTTTTTAGACGATTTTTTCAATCTTCTGAAAATAGCGTATTGTACGATTGGTATAATAGTCTTCCGACGGGCGTCTCAGTGTATCAATAAAACGATATCTAAATATCTCTGAATAAAACGTATGATATTTGACGAAGCAATCTCTGTATTTTTCACGGCATTGTTACCGATATCTTCATTTTTTTTATTTTTGTAGTTTTCTTTCCCAATAACGTGTTTTCGTACGCTTATAAACTTTATTTCAGCTATTTCCGATAGTGTCATAAAATTCGACGGTTTATTGTCTGTTTTAAAATTGCAATCACGTTCGATTCACATTAAGTATCTAGTATTGTGTCATCTTGATACTTAGAGAGATTTAACTTTTTAACAGTTCATCTTTTTCGATAAATAAAAATTTTTCGTACAAGCTATAACTTTTGAATGGATGATCATATAAAAATTTTATAAGACAATTTGAAGGAAATTAAAGTTTTTTTCCGTTAACGTCTCCAAAAATACACTTTAAATCAATTTTTAGACTTTAGAGTTAATAAATATCAACGAAAATAATTTTTCGGTGAAATTAATATCCTAAAAAACGGCTGTAACTTTTGAACGGTTGATATTATTAAAATGTTATGACACTTAATATGTAGAAAATTAAATTTCCTTTCCAGTAACGTCTTCAAAAATACAATTATAATTAATTTTAACGCCGAAAGTTAATTAATATAGAAGAAAATAATTGATCGATCCAGCCGGAGAAAGACATAATTGTAGAATTCATCAAGAACGAGGAATTTAAATACGTCCGAGCACTGGGAGCGTTGTACATGCGACTAACAGGATCTTCCTTGGACTGCTACAAGTACCTGGAGCCGCTTTTCAACGACAGCAGAAAATTAAGGATCCAAAATAAGCAAGGAGTCTTCGAAGTGATTCATATGGATGAATTTATCGACATGCTACTTAGAGACGAGCGTAGCTGCGATGTAATTCTCCCCAGAATCCAAAAGAGGCATGTCCTGGAGGAGAGTAATGAGCTTGAAGCGAAAGTCTCTGCTTTGGAAGATGATATTGACGAGGGCATCGAGTCTTCCGATGAGGAAGAAATGCTGCCAATTAAGGACGAGAGGAAGAAGGCGGACTATGACAAGGACCGGGAGAGATACAAGGAGAGGGAGAGAGAAAAAAGACACTCCAGGTCTGATAAAAAAAGTGACAGAGAGCGAGATAGGTCAAGGAGCAGGGAAAGAAAGAGAGAAAGGGATAGAGATCGCAGGGATCGCGATAAAGATCATAGGAGGAGGAGTGATCGGGACAGGAGGGAAAAGGACCGAGAACGCGAGAGGAGGAGAGACCGCTCGAGATATTAAATTTGAGTTTTTTGACTTTTTTTTATTTACATTTATGATTTATTATTAATTATTAATAAAATGTACATAGTAAAATAAATTTTCAATATTTAAATCATTTACATTAATTTTTTTTTTTTTTTTTTTTTTTTTTTTTTTTTTTTTTTTAAAGAGCTTTTATAAATTTTAGAAGATAGTTCAATTTTTTTTTATTTTTAAGTTTGATATTTTTTAAGCTAGGTGAATTTAAATGTAAAAAAAATATTTTTTTTTATTATGAATTTCTAGGTTGAGAATACTGATTGAAAAAAATTGCGGTTGTCTATATATACAAACAAAAGGATTGAAATTATTGAAAAGAATTTGAATTTCATTATTTTTAATTTTTTTTAAACTGGGTTATTGAAGTTGAAATTTAAGATTTTTTTTTTCAGATAATTTTTTTGACTTAAAAATTTGATAGAAAAAAATGAAGATTTTTTTTTTTTGTCAAGATCGGTTAAATATTTCTTATTAATTTTTTTGGCTCAAGTAGAATATTTTTATTACTTTTTTTAAATATTTTAATTATTAGTACACTGATAGGATTTGTTTAAATTTAATAAGATTTATTAACTGTGGGATTTAATAAATATTTAAGTATTTAGGCTGCATTTGAAAATGCTCTATCTCTTGATACATAATTAAAAAATGACCTTTTATTTTGTGAAATATTGACATTTTTAAAGATATAAGCTCATCCCGATGTTACACTCATTGAGACCTTTCATTTGAGTACCCACATCAATTTTTCATATATTTTATATATTTATATATATGTATATATGAAAAATATATAATAAATGCATGTGGGTACTCAAATGAAAGCTCCTAATGAGTGTAACATCGTGATAAGCTTATATTTTAAAAACGTCAATAATTAAGAAAGTACAGTGCAATTGAAGATAATTAGGAAATTACCTTGTATCTTGTGAACTATTGACATTTTTTAAAATATAAGCTCATCCCGATGTTACACTCATCAAGACCTTTCATTTGAGTACCCACATCAATTTTTCATATATTTTATATATTTATATATATTATATATATGTATGTATAAAAAATATATAAAAAATGCATGTGGGTACTCAAATGAAAGCTCATGATCAGTGTAACATCAGAATGAACTTATATCTTTAAAAATCTCAATATTTAAGAAAGTACAGTGCAATTTAACAAAAGATTATTTAAAAAAGCAAAATTTTAATTTTTTATAATTTACAAGTCACGGCAGTCACATAGTGACCAGGTTATTAACTATTAATAAATGTACTTTCCTCCCAAATAAATATTTATTAAATTAAATTATTAATAATTAATAAATCCTATCAGTGTATTAAAAATTAAACCAAAATTTTTAAAAAAATATTTCAGCAATTGTACAGTAAAAATTTTTTTTTATAATTTTAAAAACTAAAAAAAAAAATTATTTTTCCTTTCTACAAAAATTTATAAAAGCTCTACAGACTTATAATTAATAATTATATTAAAAAAAAATGAATTAATTAAATATTAAATAGTAATTAAAAAGTCGGTGAATTTAAAATAAAAAGTCTGTCTTCTTCCTTTTTGATCCACTTGAGAAGCTTGCTAACAGCGTTAATAGCATCTGGTTTGGTGACAAGAGGTTCAAAGGTGACATACAATTCAAACCCTGAGGTGACCCAGGCGAGCATGGTCTCCTTTTCTAGCTGCTGGAAAATGAGCTTCAGTGGACGGGTGGGCGAGTGAAGGCGATGGTGGAGACACTGGTAGAGTCCTAGAAGCCTTTCGACTTCCTGGTCGGTGCAATAAGGCGACTGGAACCCGGGGCTCCAGAACTGAGCGGTGCTCCTGCACTTGTAGAGGACGTGACGCATCTCCGGGAGCCCGATCTCGGCAGTGGTCACTGAGACGCGGTTCATAGACTCGTTTATTGCCTCCAGGCAGTTGGTGCGCCTCAGCTTCTCGACAATCTTCTGCTTGGCCTCCGAGAGAGTCGCGAAGACGTCTCGGTCCGCGGTCAGAAGCAGCAAGCAAGCTTGGCAGTCTTCTGCTAGGTAAGACACGTGGCCGTGCATGAATCCATTCGCGTTGAACTTCGGCAGGCAGATTGGTGTCCAGCCTTCCGCGGTTTTAAAAGCTTCTGAGCTGGCCACCAAGTTTTGGATTAAATGAAGATCCGCTGGGTGGATGAAGAATTTTTTCATTCTTACTAGGGTTACTAGTTGGTTGTTTGCTAGCAGTAATCCGAATACAAGGTTCTGGAAAAAAAAAAAAATTATTCTAAATTTATCGATGTCTCACTTAATTGTCTAATAGGGGAGAAATTACCTTGTATCTTGGGAACTATTGACATTTTTGAAGATATAAGCTCATCCCAATGATATACTCATCAAGACCTTTCATTTAAGTACCCACATCAATTTTTGATATATTTATATATATATATATATATATATATATATATATATATATA